AAATTCCTTTTTCACCACATCAAGCAGCCACTGAAAAAAAGACTCCCATATTTTTTGTTCTTATTACATATAATATTCCTTGCGATGCCATGGAGATGACTGTTTTAGAATGGGACACTGAAGTGAATTGCTCTGAGTTGCCTTCTTCAAAACGAGATGGCCTAACTACAAAATGAAAATTGACTGGTCTAAACAATTATTGATGATTTAGAGCGTGAATTCAGTGTGCATTTTTAAGAACATATATCACTTGTTTAAGGAAAAAACAAGACATTTTATACCTGCTAATATTTACATAAATTAATTCCATTTCTTATATATAAGAAAAAAACAGGAAGATGATACAGTTTTTTTCAGAGATAGACAGTAGCTACCTCCATTTTACATGTGTATATATATTTAGAGAACTTCTATAGTCTATTCTGGCTGTTTCAACATTTACAGGTTTCAAATATTGGAACCAGAATTTGAAGCTTCACTCTTATGGAACCTCCATAAGAACTGATAATCCTTTGCCTCACAATCCAATTTCATAGCTTCACAAAAGGCAGTCACACTACTACTTTTTCCATTGCTTGCCCACTCAATTTTCACCCAGCAATTAAAACCATTCAATGAAAGAGAAAAACACGAATCCTCGAGTCGTAGCACAACCTCTCCACTGATTCTCTTGCACGCACCACTACCATCGTAGGAAGGAATGAAATCGAGCCAGCAGCATTCGGGCTGACCCACCATTTTCTTGTAAGCAGAATTTGTCAGTCTAACCCTATTGTTTGAATCAGATACGACGGCTGGCATTGCCTCGAACTCAACCTCCTCCTCCACTTCTGCCGGATTCTTCAACACTTGCTTGCCTGTAGCAGTGGCTCGTTGCCCTGGATTCTCGCTGATGCTTTTGACACTTATGGTGGAGCCGATGGGACGAACAGCTCGTGGTGTAATAACGACTGGATTGGCCGGTTTTGATTGTGGCATGAAATCCAATTCCTCAGAATATTCCACCGCCATGTTCAAATCAATTTCGGGTTTCTTCCCTTCAGGATTTTGGGTGGCGGTGCACCGCAGGACAGGAAGAGCGACAGAATCAGCCGGGGTGGTTACAATTGAATCCAGCCCACATTTACGCGAAACAAGATTTGGTAAAAGAGGAATTTGAGCAATACCATTAGGGTTATGGGCAAATCCAAGAATGGCTAAATTCTTGGCTGGTGAATTCGTTACTTTATACGGCGGCGAGAGCCCTTGAAGACAAGTCCTGGCCCTTTTCATCGCCGGTGCCGGTGGTGCAAAAGAACTCCTCCCTCTCTTTCTGGTCCTCGTGGGCCTCGCCTGCAAGTGATTCCAAACATTTCTCAAATAAGGTGACCTCCTCATACTCTGAGGCACGCCGGAATTTTCACTCAAGCCTGAATTCTCTTGTCCAGCCTCAGGCTTTGGCGCTATTGGCCTGTACCTAGACATGATTTCAGCAGTTCTTGCTGTGTTATAAGGTTTCACAGTTCGAATCATTTTCAAATTTTTTGCAGAGGATGAAGAAGAAGCTGTGATGTGGTGTGAAGGGGTGGGTTCTGGTTTTAAGAAAATGTTGAACCAATGAGAAAGAGGCAACATAAAACAAATCGACAAGATAAATCGACACTTGGAGGTGTTGGGTGGGTACGTGTTTAAGGATTTTACAGATGTGGACTTGTGGGATTTCAAAACCTACATGCATGCTTACACTTATCACTGTGAAAATAATAAGTGAGAGACAATATTAGGGTTTCGTTTTGTTTTGTTCTGATTTGACGGAGAAAAAGAACTGCTGTTTCTATGGAAATGTGACGTTTTTCTATTCATTCATTTAATATGGAACGAATATATGAAATTTCATTTTAATAGTGAGTCTAAAATTGATCAAAATATAAACAAAAAATTATATAATTATTATTGAATAGTGAGTTTAAAAGTGATAAAAAGAAGAGTAATACATAACTTACAAATGCTAGGATGAATAAATTGTAAAGTACATTTTTTTATTTTAGTCTTCGAGTTTGTTTGAGTCCTATATTTTGTGAAAATGGAGGTTGTAATAGTAATTTTTTGGGAATGTTTAGTTAAAAAAAAAATTGAATTTACCTATAAAATTATTTTTCTTGCCATATTTTAATGGAGGTTAGCCAAGCATTCCTCCTAAGTCTTTACTTGATTTAGATAAAAATTAATTTTTTGATAAATTTAATAAGAGTTAATAAAACGTATATTTAGTAAATTATGAATTTCAAATATTTACTTAAAATTAATTTTTAATTAGCTTTTACAACTAAATCAAGGGCACCTTAAAGAAAGGTGCTGTTTTCCATCAAGCGGTTGAAGCAAAGGGATCCTTTTGTGCAGTAACGCGTGTGATGTTAGGCTTCATGCATTCCAACAGCTATCACCATATTTATTACGTATTCCTGTCCGTAAAATACTAAATTTTCTACTCTATTTATACATTTTGTACGGTACTGTACTTTCTCCTTGAAATAATTTTGTCTTGAACGATAAGTTGGATATGGTACTCGATCGATCTGTTTGTTTTTGTTAGAAACAGTTCACTGAAAGTTGAAATCATGACTTGATTTATGTACTTCTAATAAATAAAGAGTGATGCTGTGTATACTGACATCATTTTTTACAGAATGACCAAAGAATACTCACAAGAAGGTGGGTGAGTATTTTTTTGGCATTTTTTTATTACATTATGAGATTCACCAATGTGAGTGTCTAGAAGAATTTTGTGAGGAAAAAATTCTATACAAACAGCATTTTTGATAAATAAATATTAATTTTCTATCTATTCATACTAAAGTGAATATTCGTATGTACATAATTTTGTTAATCGTATTGATGTGAAATATCTTTTTTATTTTAGATATGCGTCACACGCTATGTACGAGTTTATCGATTGGATAAATGACTACTAACGTGTAATTGTACATCATTCGTTATAATTATTTACACGCAAGTTGTTCAAATTATATGGATATAGAAGGATTTTACGAGTTCAAATGGATAAGCTTAAAATTTTTTGAATTCAAACGTAGAAAAGGAGAGGTGAACTCCAGTAATGGACTAAATATGGTGGATTATGCATGGCACGTGATTGGACGTAGTACACATGGATACATTGTTCAAACATATTTCGAGTGCGTGATTAACGTTATGTACATATTTAACCATGGATCAAAATTTTAGTAGAAGTTAATTATTAATTATTAATTATATATTTTATACGATTTATGAATTTTCAGCCATGTATTTTATCAACTTTTATTAAAATTGACTAAAATACTAATTTTTAACCATACAAAATAGGGATTTAATGTTTCATTGGGTACACAAATAGAACATACACATTGGATAAAATTTAAACATGTGTGAACACTGCGTATGATTGATAGATGTTACATTTTTGTTGATGTAGAACGTAGGATACAGTTTCTCGAAAGCAACGATTTAATTTAGATTCATTTGAATTAATTGTAGAAAATAGAAAGAGATTACAAAGCATTGAATTCATAAGGATTTGAAATATATATTATTTGATTACTAACATTGTTTCCTTGGAGTCAATGTATTTTCTGTTCTTTCAAGAAGATCATGCATGGAGTCACGGATACTTGACAAGTGTATTTTACACACTTATCTAAATAATTAAACTTGATGAATATTGATTAACTTAATGAATTATTAAATTGAGAGAATTGGAGCTATAAGAATGAAATTGAAGAGTCACAAGTTTGGATATGGCTGGAAGTTTTGAAAGTACAACTTGGATTAATTTAAAAGTTTTAGGGATCAAATTCTACTTTTGAAGAAGATTGGGACAAACTTGAACATTCTCAACACTTGGTGGGTCAAATTTAAGAAAATACAAGTTGAAGAGTTTAAAAGGTCTTCATGGTATTTGATAAGTGTGTTTTTACACACTTATTTAGCTCCCAAACATGGACATAGTAGTTGAATTGTGACTTAATCTTGTTAAATTCATGCAATGTAGGTGTTTCTATGGAAAAGATGGAATTCAGAAGAAAAGAGCCGAAAAATGACCAAAACGGAACAAAGCGATAGTTCGGGGACCAAAGGTGCAAATATTAAAAAGTTGAGCTAAAGTGCAGAACTAGAATGAAAATATGCCAACTATGAGATTGAGGACGATACAAGACGATCGGAGGAAGAAAGAAATAACATTGAATTGAATTGAAGAAAAGTGAAAGATGAAGGACTAAATTGCAATTAATCAAAAGATGAGCCGAGCAAGTGATCAAGGAATTGATTGACCCAAACATCAATTAGAAGTCAATATTTGATAATGGAACAAAGGAAAGAAAGAAAAGAGATCAAGAAAAGAGAAAACGGAGTTTAGGGACCAAAATAGCAAGGTTGTAAAGTTACAACCTTGCGGCTGCATGTAACTCTACCATGCGGCCGCACATGAGGAGGCAGGGATATTGTTGGGGCATATCACTTGAACCATGTGGGCGCATGGCTTTAAAATTCGATGAAAATTCTGAATTTTCGTTTTTAATTGAAACTCTTTCGGGGCTCCGTGAGGACATGATATAAAAGTCAAAATTCATCAGAAATAGGGCACAACGTCTAGGTAGAAAAAAATACAACTTTTGGAAGCAAGGAACACGAACTTGAAGCAGATTTCACAAGAATTCAAGCGGGTTTTCAAAGTTTTATTCAAGATTTCAAGAATTTTCATACGGGTGCTATTCTTTTTATTTATTAATTTCATTTTTTTCTGTAATTATGAATATTCTAGGCTAGGTTTTCAATTACTAGGTGATCGATGAACCGTTGTTTGTTATTTTAATTCCATATTTCATGAATTTAATATAAAGACTCGTTTGGATAATTTGATTGGTTTACATGCATTAATTTTCTTTCGCAATTAGTGGCCAATGATTGTGTGAGTGTTGATGACTTGTTTCTTACATTCGAGAGAAGTAGAATAGGTTCGATAAGGTGTAAATTAACATAGGGTCCGATAGGGGATAGAGATATACCCCTATGCTTTATGCAATTCTTTAATTGTTCACAAAACCACATGCATTCTTGTATATTTGCATCATCCATAGAGATATAGGCTGGTGGTGTGCAAGAATAGGTCTAATATATATCGAGAGAATATATTGGATAGGATTAGGAACATTGAATTGGCAAATTTCCATCGGGTCATTAATTTTATGAAATTGGGATTTTTATAACTTCAATTGGGGATTCGTGATCCTAGTGACTTTAGTTTGATTCATTTCCATAAATTAGCTTTTGAATTTGCATAATTTCATTTACTTGAGTGTTTGAGTCATTTAATTAGAGAAATTTCGAAATTAGGGTTTTCAATAGAAATTAGGGTTTTTAGTTGAAATTAGGGTTTTTAATTGAAATTAGGGCTTTTTGCATTTAGACCATATTTTCACTCAATTAGATTCGGTTAAGGCTAGATTATATAGAATTAAACTATTCAATCTCTGAGGGACGATATTTGGAGTTTTTAAAATCCACTTTATTACTTGTTACGAACCGTACATTTGCGGTAATTTTAAATCGAAAGAATTTTTTCGCAAACAAGTTTTTGGCACCGTTGCCGGGGATTGAATATTCGTTTAATTTTATTTAATTTAGCACTAATTCGAACTTTTATTTTTAATTTATTTTAGTTCATTTTATTTTATTGCTATTTAGTTTTATTACATAAGTGCATATTTTAGTTACTTAATTCTTTAAAATTGAATTTTATTGCAGAAGTGCATGCCAAGATCTGCTGAAGGAGATCTACTCCCAACCGACCCAGAGATCGAACGAAGCTTCAGAAGAAGGCAGAGAGAAAACAGAGCAGCGAGAAATCAAATGGAGAACGTACAACACAATCCTATTGTACGAGTCAATGAAAGAGGGGAAAAAGATGAAGGAAACATGCTTGTTGGAGAGTTCATGACCCCTCAAATCATTCAAAGCTAGTCCAGCATTGTATATCCACCGTTCGGGCAGCCAAATTTCCAGTTGAAGACAAATGTGATAAAACTGTTCCAGAACGGACATCAATTTTATGGAAGAATTGAAGAGAATCCGCACAGCACGTCTCGCGCTTCTTAGAGATGTGCCAGCACTTCAGATATCAAGGAATTTCTGACGACGCCATAAGATTAAGACTGTTTCCACATACTTTGCGGGACAAGACGATTGAATGGCTTGATTCTCAGTCGATAGCCAACATTACTACCTGGAATGACCTAGCTCAGAAGTTCTGTACCACTGGCCAAGATTGCAAAGCTAAAGGACGACATATCTATCTTCAGGCAAGGTGAATCTGAGAATTTTGATGAGGCTTGGAACAGATTCAAAAATCTACTAAGGAAGTGTCCACACCACGGGATTAGCAAGGGACTTCAGGTCCAATATTCCTATGCAGCGCTACTTCCATCTTTCAAGAGCATGGTCGACTCTTCAACTAATGGGTCATTGTCCACAAAAACAATTGATGAAGCATTGAAATTATATGAGACAATGGCTACAACCTCAGCAATGTGGACCATGGAACGAGCAGTACCAAAGAAGACACCAGGAGTTTATGAAGTGGATGTATATTCAGCGTTATCCGCTAAGATTGATTCCTTATTTCACAAGGTGGAAAACATTATCCAGTCAGCTAACGCAGCGCAGACAAAGAAGGCAAATTATGAGGAATGTAGAGCTGAGCATGTGACAGCAGAATGCCTAATTTTGACACAAGGAAAAGAGCAAGTAGATTTTGCTCAATGGGGACAACGCCAGCAGAATAACGTGTATGGAGAGACCTTCAACCCAAGCTGGAAAAAGCACCTAACTTTTCTTGGAGCAACCAAAATCAAAACAGGCCACAGGGACAATATCAACAGCAAGAAAAGAAGCCTCAATTGGAAGAAATGTTCGGCAAATTCATGGAACAGACCAACCAATATATGGAGGTGAACAACCAATTCATGAAAAAGACAGAAGCCACTCTTCAGGACCAGAATGCAGCCATTAAGAATCTGAAAACTCAGATAGGACAGATGGCAGTTGCATTAACAGGTAGAGCACCAGGCAGCCTACCAAGTAACACAGAAGTCAATCCGAAAGAACATGCAAAGGCTATAACAACGAGAAGTGGAGTGGAGTTACCTGAGAGACAAATGAATAATCCCGTGGCAAACAAAGAAGATATGTTTCCTGAAGTAGAAGAGATTTTGGAGCAAGAAGAACAGACAGAAGAGCCAACACCAAGAGCAAATAAAGAAAACTCAAGGGAGAAAGAAACTATAGCTGTGAACCCCTATGAGCCACCCATACCATTCCCACAGAGGTTGAAGAAGCAAAAGATGGAACAACAATATAAGAAGTTTCTTGAAATCTTCAAGAAGCTCCATATCAACATCCCATTCGCTGAAGCACTGGTTCAGATGCCTAGCTATGCAAAATTCCTGAAAGACATCTTATCAAACAAAAGGAAACTAGAAGTCACGAGACAGTTATGCTAACAGAGGAGTGCAGTGCCAGGATTCAGAGAAAGCTCCTGTCAAAATTGAAAGATCCAAGGAGTTTCACTGTCCCTTGTACCATTTGTGAATTTTATTTTGATAAAGCTTTATGTAATCTTGGTGCAAGTATTAATTTAATGCCATTGTCTGTTTTCAGGAAATTAGGATTGGGAGAAGCTAAAGCTACCATGGTGACCTTACAGCTGGCTGACAGATCATTGACACATCCACGAGGAATAATTGAAGACGTATTGGTTAAAGTGGAGAAGTTCATATTTCCAGTAGATTTTCTAATTCTGGATATGGAAGAAGATAAAGATGTTCCTTTAATACTGGGCAGACCATTCTTGGCCACAGGCAGAGCTTTGATCGACGTTCAGAATGGGCAATTGATACTGAGATTGGGAGAAGAACGGGTTTCATTCAATATCTTCAAGGCCATGAAACTGCCAATAGAGACTGACAGATGTTTCAGGGCTGACATGATTGATAAAATGATTGAAGAGTCATTTACACTGCAAAATCCATCAGATGCATTGGAGGCCTACATTGCACATTCTAAATTCACAAATTCTGATTCTGTGGACATAGAAATGTGTGCAAGATTTTTGGAGTCCAACCCACCTTACACGCGGAAACGATACTTTGAGGAGCTTGGGACAGGGCCAGAGAAATCACAGCCATCTATTCTGAAGCCACCAAAGTTGGAACTTACGCAGCTGTCCCCACACTTAAGATATGCATATTTGGGGGAGTCCAATATACTTACAGTGATAATTTCAAACATGGTTAGTGAAGTGGAGGAGGAAAAACTGCTTAGGGTGCTTCGAGATAACAAGCAAGCAATTGGGTGGACCATAGCTGATATCAAAGGGATCAGCCCTTCCTTATGTATGCATAAAATTCTCATGGAGGAGAATTTTCGACCAACAGTTGAAAGTCAAAGAAGGCTAAACCCAAACATGAAGGAGGTAGTAAGAGCTGAGCTGATCAAACTTCTGGATGCTGGAATAATCTACCCAATATCAGATAGTAAATGGACTAGTCCAGTGCAAGTTGTGCCCAAGAAAGGAGAAATTACAGTGGTTTAGAATGAAAAGAATGAGTTGATTCCGACAAGGACGGTAACAGGGTGGAGAGTTTGCATTGATTACCGCAAACTAAATATCGCTACAAGAAAAGATCACTTCCCTCTTCCGTTTATAGATCAGATGTTGGAGAAATTGGTAGGCCATTCCCACTACTATTTTCTGGATGGGTATTCAGGTTATAATCAGATACCAATGGCACCGAATGATCAAGAGAAGACCACCTTCACATGCCCCTATGGTACCTTTACATATCAAAGAATGCCATTTGGACTTTGCAATGCTCCTGCCACATTTCAGCGATGCATGATGGTAATTTTCTCAGATATGGTAGAGAAATTTATTAAAATCTTTATGGATGACTTCTCGATCTTTGGGACCTCATTTGATGAGTGTTTGGATCACTTAAACTTGGTTTTGCAAAGATGCAGAGAAACGAACTTAGTATTGAACTGGGAGAAATGTCATTTCATGGTTCAAGAGAGAATAGTCTTAGGACATAGAGTATCGGCAAAGGGGATAGAGGTGGATAAGGTGAAAATTCAGGTTATTGAGAAATTACCACCACCTACATCAGTAAAAGGAGTTCGAAGTTTTCTTGGGCATGCAGGGTTTTACAGGAGGTTTATAAAGGACTTCTCCAAAATCACCAAACCTCTGTGCAACTTGCTAATGAAAGAGGTATCTTTTGAGTTTAATGAGGAATGCTTGTTAGCGTTCAATACTTTGAAGGAAAAACTCACAACAGCGCCTGTGATTGTGTCACCTGATTGGGATTTGCCCTTTGAGCTAATGTGCGATGCAAGTGATCATGCAGTTGGCGTGGTATTAGGACAAAGAAAGAATAAAATCTTTCATGTGATATACTATGCAAGTAGAACTTTGAACAACACCCAAATCAACGATGTGACGATCGAAAGAAATTGCTAGCTGTGGTTTATGCATTCGACATGTTCAGATCGTATCTTGTTAGGTCTAAGGTCATCGTCTACACAGATCATGCCGCTCTAAAGTATCTTATGACAAAGAAGGATGCTAAGCCGAGATTGATCCGCTAGATATTGTTGTTGCAAGAGTTCGATATTGAGATCAAGGACAAGAAGGGCAGTGAAAATGTGGTAGCCGACCACCTATCAAGATTGGAATGGGATGAACCTGAGATGTCAGTTGACATCAATGAAATCTTTCTAGATGAGCAAATTTTTGGAGTAAAAATAGTCTCATGGTACGCTGATATTGTTAACTACCTTGCTAAGTCCATCCCGCCACCAGAGTATTCTAGCATCAAAGAAAGAAGTTCTTCGCAGAGCTGAAGTATTACTTTTGGGAGGATCCCATTCTCTACAGAAGAGGCGCAGATCAGATAATCAGAAGATGCATTCCTGAAGATGAAGTATCGGAGATTCTAGAACATTGTCACTCTTCTGCATATGCTGGGCATTTTGGAGCTTCAAAGACTGCTGCAAAGATACTACAGTCGGGTTTCTATTGGCCTACTTTATTCAGAGACATATTCGAGTATGTGAAGAGATGCGATAAATGTCAACGAACCAGAAATATCTCAAAAAGAAATGAGATGCCACTAAATTACATCTTGGAGGTTGAAATATTTGATGTATGGGAAATAGACTTCATGGGACCTTTTCCCCCATCGTACTCAAATCAATATATCTTGGTGGCCGTTGACTATGTCTCTAAGTGGGTGGAAGTTGTTGCATTGCCTACCAACGACGCGAAAGTGGTGATAGAGTTCTTGAAGAAGTACATATTTAGAAGATATGGTACACCGAGGGCAATAATAAGTGATGGGGGCAAACACTTCATAAATCGTCAATTAGAGCAGCTGTTGAACAAATATGGGGTGACACATAAAGTAGCAACTCCATATCATCCACAAACCAATGGGCAAGTTGAAGTTTCGAATAGGCAGTTAAAGAGAATACTGGAAGTTACAGTGAACTCATCCCGAAAAGATTGGTTTAAGAAGTTGGACGATGCACTGTGGGCTTACGGAACAGCGTTTAAGACACCAATAGGAATGTCTCAATACCGCCTGATTTTTGGGAAAGCGTGTCATCTACCATTGGAGTTGGAGCACCGAGCATATTGGGCTATGAAACAGTTGAATATGGATCTTAAGGCTGCTGGTGAAAAATGACTGCTGCAATTTAATGAATTGGATGAAATGAGAATGGAAGCTTACGAGAACTCAAAGTTGATCAAGGAGCGCACCAAGAGATGGCATGATTTAAACATTCAGAGGCGAGAGTTTGAAGTTGGCCAGAAAGTGTTATGGTACATTTCTAGACTCAAACTCTTCCCAGGAAAGCTAAGAACAAGGTGGTCGGGTCCTTATACCATAACTAAGGTGATGCAATATGGGGCTATTAAAGTGAGTCACGAGACCAAAGGCACTTTCATCTTCAATGGGCAAAGACTGAAACATTATTGGAGCTGTAATTTCCCTAAGCAGAAGTCCACTGTGCAACTCAACAACCCAACGTGAAGAAGACACAGGAAAGTCGAGCTATCGACTATAAACTAGCGCTGGGTGGGAGGCAACCCACTGTATCCTTCAATTTATTTTATTTCATTTGTTTAGGAATTTGTTTACATTTCGTATGTTTTATTAGGTCATCGATCATTCACGCATAATAGTCGAGGCACTACACGTTTATAGTTGCATGAGTCGGGGTTAAAGAAAGTGTTTTGGGTATTTGAGTATGAAGTAATGAATTTTGTGGTTCAACGTCGTTCGTTTTATTTTTCGAGATGTTTTTTTAAAAAAAATAATTTTTGGAATATGTAGAGTCGAGTCAATTTTGAAATTGAAAACCAATTTCGGGGAATTTTTAAATTTCAAGGTGTGTTTGGGGTATAATTGTAAGTTTGCTTTAGTTTGTTTTTTAAATAATAATAATAATAATAATTTTGGGCTTTGTCCATGCGATCGCATGGAGACCGCATGGACCCTGATCGAACCAACTTAGGGAGAATTCAATTACACCATGCGGCCGCATAGTGTATAAGTGACGGGTTATTAACCCGTCACTTGCTAAACAACCCATTTTTTTCCTCCTCCCCCCCCCAATCCACCTTCACATACAATCAATCACCGACACACTTATCATTATTCACATCATTGGCATTATTATCAAGAATTTTGAAGTATACTCTCAAATTTCACCTCACAAAGGTCTAAAGGTAAGAAATTTAATTTCTATGCAAAGTTTGAAGCTATTCTTTGATTTTATTGCCATTTCGAATTGGGTAAGTGTTGAATTGTGATTTGTGGACTAGCCCTAAGTGTAAATAAAAAACAAAGTGAAGGAAATTCACAATGCACACAATGTGTTCGATTAAATGTCAATGAGACATACAATTCGAAATTTTGAACTTTTCATTTGTGTGATGATTTACATTGTTAATATGAGACGTACTAGACGAGAAATCTCATGGAATTTCATTAGAAAACGTTAGCCTCATATATTTGTGCACATAAACACATAATTGCTAAGCTACGTCAACTCATGTCGCTAACTTCGTCCATGTATTTTCCTTACCAAACAACCTCCGATTGTAGTGAAATTTGGATATATGCTAGACCACAATGAGTACTTTCATATGTCCGGACATTGTTCGGGGAAATTTTAATATTTCTCGATGATGCTTGGGGCTGAAGTTGGTCACTTAATCATGGGTCGAATTTAAAAAAAAAATGCATGTTAGAGCCATAGTTTTGAGTTTTTCTCATTAATGCAATATTGATGTTACATTGACTTCCATGCGTTGAATATTGAACACATTTTAAAGAAAGTTTGGGGGATTCTTGCATGATAATGATATTCTTTATCGTTTTCTTATTTCAAGAATTTGATACACTTTGTTCCTTATTTTATAGGATGCCACCGAAGAGAACATCAAAAGGTAAAGAAAAAGTTGGTTCCTCCTCCGGCACAGCCCACACCAGAGAGCTAATAGGAGGTGTGCGAAGATTCTGTGATGCAGAAACATTAGCTCAATATGAGAACATAATACGCCATTGGGGCATGATACCAGAGAGACAGGTCCGGTTAGAGGATTTTCGTAGTTTTGAGTTGACAAATCTGATACAAATCTGTGGATGGGAGAAGATTATAGAAAAACCACACCCGATTTATGAAAGTATAGTCCGCGAATTTTATGCAAACTTCAATAGTGAAATTGAGACTCCGGATTCTGAGCACTTACACCAAACGTGGGTGCGAGATAAGTGGATAATGCTCTCCCCAACCGTCATTCATGACTCTACAATCTTAATTTAGACAATGTGGTCTCGATTTCCACTCAATTCAATCGGAATGAAGTGGCGGAGGTTCTCTTGGGAAGAGAGAATGCTTGGCCCCTACCCACTGCAGAGTGGCATCAAATTGAGCTTACTCCCTCCATAGCCATCCTCTGGGTCTTCATGTGTCATAACATCCAACCCACATCCCATCGGACAACTTTCATAGATCAAACTGCTGGATTCATATATCATTTAGTCTGGGGATGCAAAGTTGATTTGGCTACTCTTATATATGATCAGATACAAAATTTGGGGACTTGGAAGATAGGCGGTCTTCGATGATCTTTCCTAGTCTGATTAGCGGGATATGTCTCGCCGTCGGTGTTACAGTTGAGGCAGGGGAGATGCCTGAGAAATCAAGCCCATTGATAAAGCTCACTACATTTGAAGCTCAGGAACAGGCTAGGGTAAGGAAGAGAGAACAAGACAGACTTGAGCAGCAAAGACAAAATGCGCAGGAAGAAGGACAAGCAGCTGAAGATTTACACTTGCCACAAGCCCCGCCACAACCAGTTGAGATGGATTCACAGCTACTTCGACAAATATTTGCCACAGCCACTAGAACTAGCAGGGATATACAAAATCTCCAGCAGAGGTTTGAGACGATGACCACCACTATTGAAAAAGTGCAGAGAGACCTCTACTCCTCCCGAGACTACACAAAAGGTGCTATGAATGAAGCCACAGCTACAAGAAGGGAAGTAGAGACTATGAATGGTAGGTTCAACATGTACGTTGGGAGAATGGATGGCATACAGTGGCGTGTGAACGAAACTTGGGATCGCTTGGAAAATATGGAAAGTAGTCTTCAAGCCATTCAGGCTGAGCAAGCATAGCAGTCCGAGTTGCTGAGACAAGTCCTATCTCGCCTCCCACCTCCTCATGAAGATGATGCTGCGGGTCCCAGCTTCACACCACAGCCACCGAATTGATCAGGGGAGTTTTGTTATTCTCTTATTGCCAAGTTGTGTCAATGTTTTAAATTCTGCCACTTTAACTTTACATTTTACATTGAGGACAATGTATTGTATAAGTTTGGGGGATGGTAGCATTATTTCAAACAAATATTCGGCATGTAATTATTTTGCACATTCACAATTCATCGTTAATTTTGACAAGTTTTTGCATGATGCATGCTTGATAGTGAGTCTTGATGAACTTTTGCATGCTTGTGTGGATTTGGTAGCCTTGCCGGCTGTGATGTGATTATTGGACATGTATAAGCTAGAAATTGTGGATTTAGTGCAGGATTTAATTGGCTAATACTTGTTGATACATTGCTTGACATTCTTTTGCACGCCACTCATGCTTCACGTGTTAAGTTATTGATTGAAATTTTAGAATAAATTAGGAGAAATCTAGAATAACCCTCTATAACATTAACACGTAATACCACTTTAAGATAGTTTGGAGATGATTGAGCCATTGTAGGGAAACATGGAGATAAGTGGGGGCTCCGTGCATGAAATTATAATGTGTGGATTGTTTAAACCCGGAAGGTGAGAAATAGGTGAAAGTTTTAAGTGAGGATGGTTTTGAAAGTCAAATGTCTAATAAAACAAAGAAAGGGCATAAAGTAAAAAGTGAAAAATTATCACTTCTCTCAAAAAGCCTTTATGACTCGAGCAAGTAAGTCTGTAAGGGTTTAAAATCTGATGCCCTAATGCCAACTGGTTTGGGAGTCATCGGCCTAAAGCTCGTTACAAGGGTCGTATAGAAAGTAAAAAAAGGGAGAAATTGACAAAAAGTCATCTTATCGAGCCTTTATAACTCGAGTGAATAAGACTGCAAGGTTTAAAACCTGATGTCCTAAAGCCAACTGGTTTGGGAGTCATCGCCTAAAACTCGTTACATGGGTTATATAGAAAGCAAATGAGAAGATGACACAAAAAAATAAAAAAATAAAAAATAAAAATAAATAAAAGCCCTCGTTGGACATTTGGTTGATAGAACTATAACCTCAATGCGAGGCAAGTAGTTTAGTTTAATCCTAAAGGTTGAAGCAATCAAAATAAAGAGAGTCTCTACTTGATGATATGTGAACTTGTAATGGTAAAATCTATCCAAACTAAGAGAGGGTAAGGATTAGAATTGTTTAAACTCCTAACCTTAGAATACACCCCGGAGAAATTGTGTAAAAAGAATACATTTGGGGACTGTCTATCTCTCGAGTGACGTAAGGATAAATTTGACCACTATGGGTCGGGAATAAACTAATCATAAGCTTGATACATTGGCATGAGTTTACACACACACGTTGAGTATTGCATTTGATGAGTAAAGTTTGATTCAATTCTCGCACTCTTGATATTGTTTCTATTATTATTACTAAGTCCAATCCTGAGACACGGCAAGCTATTAAGCCATGTTTGTTTAGCATTAAGTCACTACATTGTTTGAGGATAAACAACAGTTTAAGTTTGGGGGATTTGATAAGTGTGTTTTTACACACTTATTTAGCTCACAAACATGACTTAAACATGGACAAAGTAGTTGAATTTTGACTTAATCTCGTTAAATTCATGCAATGTAGGTGTTTCTATGGAAAAGATGGAATTCAGAAGAAAAGAGCCAAAAAAGGACCAAAACAGAACAAAGCGATAGTTTGGGGACCAAAGGTGCAAATATTGAAAAGTTGAGCTAAAGTGCAGAACTAGAATGAAAATATGCCAAGTATGAGATTGAGGACGATATAAGACGATCGGAGGAAGAAAGAAATAACATTGAACTGAATTGAAGAAAAGTGAAAGATGAAGGACTAAATTCCAATTAATCAAAAGATGAGCCGAGCAAGTGATCAAGGAATTGATTGACCAAAACATCAATTTAGG